TCTAGGATCTTGTTATTTTTATACAGCTTGGGAAAAGTGAGACTTACTTCAGATTAGGTAGTCCTGGTCTACTACACTACTGCTTTCTGAGCTCTCACACCTCAGGGCTTACTTCTCCAGAATCCAGAATCGGCCATGGCTCCAGTTGCTATTTCGGGTCATTTCCAGTGATCCCCATACTGTAGGGGCTTTCTATTGCCCTAGAAATCAAATATAAACTCCAGAGCCTCTCCTTTAAAGTCAGAGGCTTGCCACTCTCAACCTCCCTGCTCCAGTGTATACAGAGGCTCTCCACTGTGTTCCCACCACCTGGACCTCCTCATCACCCTCATTTTCAGCCCTCACTCTCCTGTTTTCAACTTTTGCTTGGGCTGCAAATCTCTCTTCTCTCCTGTTTTAAAATTCACAATAACTTTACTATTAACATGCCATTCAGCACTCACTTTTCATCAATTATCCTAGATTTTCCCCAGCTAATGGTACATGTTTCCTAAACTAATCAGTACTCTTCTACACACATAATTTGTCTATTTGGATCATGAAATCTTCGCATTGGAAGGGGCTTTGGAGGCCTATCTTACATCTACAGTAGAAACAACTTCCAAAACATCCCTGACTTCATTTTGGCCTGAGGGTTCCCTAACTGGTCTACATAGGCCCTGTCAGTTTAAATCTAAATTAAATCTCTGCAAGCCCCCCACCCAATCACCTCTCTCCCTAAATCTCATGAAATGGCAATTGCTACTGTTTTCAAAGAAAGAAGGAAGGAAGTTAAGGAAAGAAAGAAGGAAAGAAAGGAGGGAGGGGCTCTAGATTAAAACTTTATCCTCCCTTCCTGTTTCAGTTATCTCTTGGTATATAACAAATCATCTCAAAACTTTGTGAGCTCAAACAATATTTTTTATTATTTCTCAAGATTTTGAGGATTGCATAGGTGTTCCCCTGCTACCTGGGAACTGCATGAATGCTCATCTGGTACCTCACTTGGGACTGGAGGGTCTAAGATGATTTAACTCACATGCCTGGCAGTTCATGCTGTTGGCTCAAGCACTACTTCTCCCCCATGTGACCTCTCATCCTCCATTAGGCTAGACTGGGCTTCTTCACAGCATGTGATCTCAGATTTCCAAAAGAGTGAAGTAGAATCTGTAATACATTTTTTTTTAATTATTGAAATATAGTTGACATACAATGTTACATTAGCTTCAGGTGTGCAATGTATTGATTTGACAATTCTATACACTACTCAAGCCTCAGGAGTCACAGTGCTGTTTCTGCTGCCTTCTGTTTATCAAGTAAGTCCCAGTTTGACAGGAGGAAAAAAGAGATTCTGCCTTAGTGAAGGACAGTGAAGGACAATGTCACATTACAAAGAATGCAAAAAATTTCCAAGCCATCTACTACAGTTTCAAACCTCTGGATACTGGGGCACCCAGATCCCTGCCTAGGTAATCAGTGGCCTTTCCTCATGTCTAAGACAAATTTGTCCTTCTGGATCCATCCCTTCCACCAGCTCAGGGGCTCTCTCTTCTGTAATATTAGCCTTTCTCTTGTTACTAGCTCTTTCTCAACATCATTTATCAATATATGGATGCCTTCCATAATAAAATTAAGCTCACCTCAAACCCTTGATGGTTTGCATAGGGAAAAAAAGCCCACACATATTGACATGGCCCATCTCCTTCATTTTTAGCCAAATGTCTTGAAATGACGTCTGCTCTTTACTCATGGCTCCCATTTTTTATATTCTTTCCTCGTTGTCTTTTGTGATACCACTGTTTCCTAATTCTCTCTCTCCTTCTCTGGACACTCCTACCAGTTTTCTTCCTTTGCTCATTAAAATCTTAGGTGTTATTTTTTCCTTCAGCTCTCTTCTTACTTTGTACTCTCATAAGGCAGTAGTATTTATTCTTAGGGCCTCAACCATGCTCAGAGCATGCTCATATATGTTCCATGTGGTTTCTGAGATGCTCACCAGCAAGACTGAGCCCAGAGCCCTGCAGAAGTAAACCATTATCAAAGCACTCTATCGGCCTTTCTTCCCTCTATCATTTTCCCACCTCCACATTTGTGTGTGCTTGGAATTGCCTCCCCAAAATCTACCGGCACCAAAGTCCTTGTCTAGGGTCTGCTTTTGGGGAAACCTAGAGTAAGATAACTTATATTCTATTTGTAGAAATTGTTCTCCCTTCCTCTCCACTTCCTAAATTCAGATCCTTCTTTCTTGTCTGGGTCTAGAAACTCTTACCTTCACTCTCTGAGTCTAATTTTCCCCTTTCCCAATTTATTCATGACACTGCAAGCAAATAAGCTCTGTAAAGTATTTGATCATGTCACATCCCTCCTTAAAAGCATTGGTGGTTCCCAACTCTCCCCTCCATATAATAAATCCAAATTCCTTAAACTGGACTATAGGGATGGTCATGATCTGGACACTGTTTAGCTTGCCAGGCTCAACTTCTACTCCAGCTACGATGAGCTACTTGGACCTACCAAAGAGCTATTTCTTCTTGCTTCTAAGACCTTGCTGAAGTTGCACCAAGTTCTGACCTATTCAGTATTATAATAGTCCATTTATAGTTCTGCTTTCCCCCTAAGTTTTAAGCAACCTAAAAAAACGTGTTTTATTAATTTCATATCCCCAGGGCCTAGTGTACATGCTGGGCTTATAGACTGTTCTTAATAAACATTATTCAATCTATCTAGCCTCAACTTAAATATTTAAATAGGCTCACTACTTTCCTCTAAACTCTCTTAACTATAAAACTAATCAATCACATTAAAAAAAGCTTTGAAAATATTGGGGAAAGAACACTAACCATAACTTCCTTAATATAATTTGTTTTTTGATGAACTCCCTTTTAATCTATGTTTTACATAGATGTAGTAGTTCCATTTTTACAGATGAAGAAACTAAGGCACAGAGCCTAAGTGACTTGTCCTAAATCATGCAACTAAGTGACAAAGCTATGATTTGAATGCATGAAGTCTGGCACCAAAGTTCATGCTGTATTTAATGGAGAGGATTAAATTACTTAGTTTATGGAAAGCACTTAGAACAGTATATGGCACAAGGTATAGATTTAGTAAGTGCCAGCTATTATTGTCATTGCTATTATGATGAATACATTTAATATAATTTGTCATCCACTTTGAATTGTCATAGATTTTCACTAAATGAGGTAGATTTTTACTTTGAATTAGATCATAAATGATTTTAATACCACCATACAATCTTATTAACTATTATTTTTTATGACTGCAATATTCTATAGAATGACCCTGCAATAATTAATTAGTTTTTGCTATTGACTATATTTTTTTCATCTTTTATATTGTATATAACACTATGAGCATTATTTTTTATGCATTAAGCTTTTCCCTTAATTTAGGCCATTTTTTTAGGATAGATTGCCAGAAGTAAGAATTATGCATTAAAAGGTTTAAACATTTTTATGGTTATTTATGCATATAAAAAATGGCTTTACAAAGGCATTAAAGCATAGCTATGTTTTAGGGAGTCTGTTCAACAATTCAATATTTGCATGTTATAAAACATTTTCATTAATACTAGCTTTATCCAAAGAATTTACACAAAATAAATCCCATTTCTTTTCAATATGAGAGACTTTCAAATATTTAGATTTTTTTTTTTAAATATATGCCTTCAGCACCTACACTCCTATGGAACCTCTCAACTCTCCTTCAGATTTTTTTTTTTATGCTAAACATCCCCAACTTTCCCTCAAGCACCTCTGGTCTGACAAAATTACCAGGTGCTTAACCATCTGAGTCATAACTCCCAAATACATCCCATTGTGCCTATGTCCCTTTTAATTTGGAGATTACAGACATGGTCTGACAGTGCAGAGCACAGAGGGGTGATCACATTCCTTGACCAGGGCATCTATTTCCAGCAATGCAGCCTACGGTCACTTTAGCATTTTTGATACTAAAATACACTGTTGGCTCATGTTTACTTGCTATCAACAAACCCCCCTGTCATTTTTACATGAACTCCTATTGAGTCAGGTTGCCCACATTCTGTATTGATGTAGATAATAGTATGCAGCTAAGTGAAGTTATTTACATAGGTTCATATTAAATTTTAACTAGTTTATTAAGTTTCTAGTTCCAGAATTTTGAGACACTTCTGATTGCCCAAATAGATATACTGATTTACTTGATGCATAACTTTATGCTTTCTGTATCTTCTCAAAAGTCATAAACAAAGATACAGGCTAAGACAACCCAAGTACATTCTTATGGCACATAATTAAAGTCCTTTGGTTGATAGTAATCAGCATCTTTGTATATAGCTTTTCACCCAGCAATGAATCAGCAGCTGTGAATCCACCCAAGTGCCTTAACACTCAACCACATTCATCCACACTATTCCCAAAGATATCACAGGAAAACTTGTTAAATGGCTTCCTAGGACTAAAATAAATCATGATTATATTTTTTCATTAATTATTATTAAAGCAATTCTATAATTCTGTCTAAAAAGACAGTAAGTGATTTTAACCTGTGTCTCACAGCTATCCTTATTTTCTAAATGCTTACAAACTAGTATATACTAATACTAAATCTTATGATAATCAAGTGTTTATATTTGCTAACTTCTCTATGAAATTATCAACTCCTCATAGGAAAAAGTCATTTATACTTCCATGTATGCTTTGTGAACTAACACAGCAGCAGGCTTAACCACTATTTATTATTTCAGCCCCCAAATAAAATATATAATAAAGTAATATATAATACAATAAATAAAATATACTGAAATCTCTCCTCTATATATTTTATAGTTTTTTAATACAAATCAACCTGCAATTTGAAGACACTCAGCTTATTTTGAATAACATTACATTACTAACAGAGGGTAACTATCTGATTATGTCTATGAAACTGTCATTGTCTTGGAACTAGTCATAAAATAACTAAAATAAAATGTTTCCTTTTATTCAAAAATGTTAATTGAGTTATGTAACTTCCAGGGTGCTTGTTGGTTCTCCTCTAGTTGGTCAACCCAAGAACAGAACTGGAGATGTCTATAAGTGTCCAGTTGGGAGAGGCAAACCATTACCTTGCATAAAGTTGGATCTACCAGGTACGTAAAGTCAAAACGTTAAAGCCTGATCCTAAATTATACCCAGTATTCTCAAAAAAAAATAAATTTTAACTCAAGAAAAGATTACAAGAATCTATAAATATTCTTCAGTTCTTATCACTCAGATTCACATAAAATGACATTTTGATTGTCTGCCCTTCATTTGCTTTAGAATTCATTATAGAATACCCATAGATTTAGAAATAAAAGACCTTTCCAAATAACCCCACCCATTACATTGCCTCCACAAAATTTAACTGTTTCTTTTTAAAAAGAAAATAGCACAAGACTTGTAATACATAAATTCTTTTAAAGAGAATAGTACAAGGTAAATTTATATAGAAATGGGTATGTTTGATAGAAATATCACTGTAATTAGAACATGACTAGAAACTTCCTATTAGAACTATCCAAGAATTAGAATCCTATCAGTGTTCTATACAGTATTAAATACCATCAAATTAGTATATATTTTGTAGGTTTAACTTCAAATATTTTATTTTTCAGTTCTCTTTCTTTCAATTTTGTTTGTTTATTATGAACATTTTTCCTGTACATTTATGAGCATAGTTATAATAGCTGCTTTAATATCCTTGTCTGATAATTAGAACGTCTGGAATATCTCAACATCACTTTCTATTTATTACCTTTCTCTTGAGCTTGAGTCACATTTTCCTGTTTTATCTTGTGTTTAGTAATTTTGGATTATATCCTGGATTATACTTTTGAGTTATAAGTGTGGAGATTCTAGATCTTTTATGTGTCTTTGAATAGTCTTAACTTTTTGTTTTAGCAGACAGTTTACTTGGCTGAACTCAATTTCCAAACTGCAGTGGGAAGCAGTTAAAAACTCTATTCAGTTCTTCTAATTGTAGCTGAGCTGTTTGAAATTTACCCTGCACATATACAGTTCAAGTCCTTCAGATATTTGGACAGGATATACACGTATATGTTGGAACTCTCTTTTTGTGGTTCTGCTTTCCAAGATATACCCCCTCACTTTGCAGTTGCTGTCATTACCCCAATTTCTGTCCTCTGTTTCTTCAAAACAGTAAGACTTTGAGCTTTATTTGAGGTTTAGCCACTGACAAGAGCCTTCCCTTGGGGGAAAACAAACACATAAACAGGAAACTCACCCAGTGCTTATCTTTTCTTATAAGTACATACTTGCCTCCAGTTTCTGTCTGCTTTTGGTTGCTTTCCAGTGCCTTCAGATTTTTTTTTCTCCTTTTCCTAGAGTTATAGTTGTTATTTGCAAAGGACTTGTTCTGATAGGAGCTATTCTTTCATTACTGGAAACTGTAATAGAGTTTTAACATTAGCTTGGAGATTTTAACTACATCAACAACGGTGGAGAAGTTCCTGCTATAGTCCGTAATGTCCCAAGAATGTTCATCCAGGGTCAACCCTAGAATAAAAAACTCTAATCCAGATTATTCAAGACCTGTGTAAATAATAGCCCAGTTCCAAGTACTTTCAAGGCAAACCAGACTAAACTCTGGGACAAGGACCACGGTCAGATTAGGAAGACAGTGTGACCATTCAGGAATCTCGGCTTCCATTCCCTCACTTTAAGCTGTATATGGTCCTAAGGTAGGAAAAACTTCTGGGCCTTAACAGTGAGATAAATCTTTCTTGAACCTGAGTTTTGCCACTTTCAAATATTTCAAACTCTGCTAAGCAGGGTTTAGAAGATTTTTATTTCCCTGTCCAATCTTTTTTTTTTTCAATATGAATAACTGGAACTTCTTGCCAATTTTGCTAGGTTGGCATGCTTCAAGACCCAACGTTCCTATCTCGAATGTCAAATGGTATCCTTTCATTGTTTCTTTTCTCCAAACGTCCTGACCAATGCTCAGTCTTGCTCCAGTTTTGTTTGTTACCTTCATGATGTCCCCATGATGGTGAAATTAATGATCATAAACTTATATTTGGTATTTGAGGGGTTTTTTTTTCTGCTCTACTACTCATTTTCCCTCTTGTCAGAAATCATGTTTTATCATTGGTTATTTATAACATATAGATATAACATGCAAGGTAGGTGTGTAAGTTTACATTATGTCTATAATATTATGAGGTTAAATATTTTATTTGTTTTAATTAGCAAAAATGTGTGAAAGGCTATCCCACATTCTCTCATTGCCCCAATAGTTCTGCATTCTTTTACAGTTCAGCAAAACTATTTGAGACAGCTATCCAGACAAAGTTTCTGGGACATAAGCCAAGTTTTTAGCCTTAGCTTGTTCATTATATTCCTTAATAATACTTTGAAGGCTATTTAGTTGAATCAGACGAAGAAAGTGCTATGATATGAGCAAAGCAAATAGAATGTCTTAATGAGAAGACACTTAATTATACTTTGTTTTCTACCCTCATAAAATTTTGTTCTATTTTTAGTTAATACATCAATTCCCAATGTCACAGAAGTAAAGGAGAACATGACTTTTGGATCAACTTTAGTCACCAACCCAAACGGAGGGTTTCTGGTAAGATAGCAAAGAGTTGGTTAATGAACCAGGAATGCTGTTATTCTAAGACTTTATAAAATCTGTTATATAATTTTTAATCTTATGGTTTTTAATTTTTTAAAAGGCATGTGGCCCCTTATATGCCTATAGATGTGGACATTTGCATTACACAACTGGAATCTGTTCTGATGTCAGCCCCACATTTCAAGTCGTGAACTCCATTGCTCCTGTACGAGGTATACATTTTATGCAATGTTCTTACATGTTTGAAAAGTGTAAGCAATGAATGAGACATATGTATACACAGGAGCATACCAAAGAGCTTGAAGTATTTTCCCAGCTACCAGCATTACCAATTTAGGTAAATGTTTGCTTTGCCAATTTATAACCAAACCTCACTTCTATTTTTGGAGCTGATTATTAGTGTAAATAACCTTTAACAGAATCTTGTTTAAACATCATAGCTAAAGCTGTCACACTGTTTTTATTTAAAGAGTGAGTCTCTTTGAAGAAAGTAATCTCATTTGAAATACACACAGAATGAGAACAGTTATATAAAAAATTCATATTGAGAAAATTTCCAAAGATAACTCATACAATGTTGATTAAAATTAAATAGAGATGAGTTTTACTTGATAAGAATCCCAAACCAATTGCTATTGAATGCAGTAGTATTTATCACCTTTACTTTTCCTAAAACTATTTTTTCTGATTATAAACCCAATGTATACACTATGTAAACTCTCAGCTTATCTTTTAAAATGAGCTTATTTCAGCTATGAAAACACTCCGTACACCTTCAAACTATCTAAAAAGACAAACTCGAAATTTGCACAGTTGACTCTTTTTATTACAGAATGCAGCACCCAACTGGACATAGTCATAGTGCTGGATGGCTCCAATAGTATTTACCCCTGGGAGAGTGTTACAGCTTTTTTAAATGACCTTCTTGAAAGAATGGATATTGGTCCTAAACAGACACAGGTATGTGACTATGCATTTTGACTTCTGTTGTCCTAAAGATAAAAATGTATAGATTTTTAATAATACAAAATACTCCGAAAATAAATTAATCAATAAAGCTAATATTTGGGATGAATTTTATATTCCATATGTCTGACCCTGTTATTTTCTAAACAGAAAATATTATGAAAACTGCCATTTCTAATGCTCTTAGAAAATATCCCCTATAAATCTCTGTAAAATCATGATAGTATTCTTACTTATAAGGCAAGTGTAGCCACCTTTGGTAATGTCAAAGCAGGATTTCAGAATTTGTGGAAACTAATCTAACATCCCAAAGAACACATCACATTACAATCTCCTTTCTCATATTATGAGAGATATTTCTCACAAGTAAATTCATAAGTGACCACAGGATATCGCTTAAGGTCCATTTTTTTCTCATATTTAATAATTTATTTTCTTAAGCGAAAAGCACATGCTCCATGTTTTAGCTACAGTTAAGTTTGATAGTTTTTTTTAATTTCTCCCCATGAGTATCTGTTTCTAAACACATCCCCTTTATTGTCATTAAATGAAGTGAAACTTATCATGTGGCTCTCCCACTTCAGACACTGAGTTTGGGTTTAACTAATCTAATGTTTATTAAACTGAGGGTTCTTGAGGGGAGGGGGGTGGGGGGGATGGGTTAGCCTGGTGATGGGTATTAAAGAGGGCACGTATTGAATGGAGCCCTGGGTGTTATATGCAAACAATGAATCATGGAACACTACATCAAAAACTAATGATGTGATGTATGGTGATTAACATAACATAATAAAACTTAAAAAAAATCTTATATGGCTGTATGGCTTAAAATATGGAGATGACAGTGAATAAAAGGCAAATTAAATGTCAGAGTGAAGTCAGTGCCTTGAGAGCAGAAATTAGTACAGGAGTCAGAGTCAAAATGGTTGTTGCATGGTTTGGGGACTGCAGGAGAGCACAGGACATTTTAGGACTGTACAAGCAGACCAATGTCTTTCCTTTTCTTTCTGAGAGCTCGACTTTTGGAGAAATTTCTGAGGCACTGAAAAAGTGGTATGACTGCATTAATGTTTGGCACACCAACACATAGTGTGGGACATAAATACACACAGATGTGTGTATGTGTATGATATGCTTGTATATATTTATGTATATGTATACCTATAAATATAAATTTATATACACATATATATAAAATGAATTTTCCCAAAAGGATAGTAGTTGAAGATTGCAAAGTAGATGGAAAACCTCAAAGTGAAATGTCATATGGCTGTGTTCCAAGGCTGAATAGGTGAGAGCTAGGTAAGGGGCAAGACTGTGTATATCCTACTGTACCATAAAAAAATCTTGAAATCAGTGTAAAATTATTTAAAGAAAATGAACTTTTATGCATCACAAAATGTAAATTTTCCTGGATACAAGTTTCTCATTTGCAGTTAATCTTCCCAAGTGAATTACCAGAGGTTTTGAGGGGATATTATATCTCTTCTTGCTACAGGCCATAAGGCAGCCTGCATCCTTTAAAAGACCACTCCAGAATGTGACTTCCTCCTCCATTTTTTTCTCCTTCTGAGGACCTCTCTCTTCCTTCTTTCCTCTCTTCTCCATCCTTTCTCTCTTTGGTCAATAAATTTTCATAGCGCTATAAAATTAAAGCTGGGCAGAATTGTGGAGGTCATTTAGCCCCAAAATCTCAATCTATGGAGGGGATGGGAGAGTCTAAGTAACTTGTTCAAGGTTACTTGCTTACTGATGACAGATCAGAAACCATGGCTTTTCCAACTGCAGTCGGGCTCTCTGTTCTTGCGGAGACCTCTACTTCTGGAGAAGTTTCAGAGCTGGTCCTAAATGTTAGGTCTCTAGTCCTTTTCATTTCATCATGACTGTCCCTGTCCTTCTGCGGCCAGCCCTGTGGCACTCTCTTCCCTGACCCCTGACACACCTGCCATGAAATGGCTAGACCGCAGCTCTGCCCTCTCTCACTGCCTTCCCCAGGATGTGCTTTCTTCACTTCCACCTGTTTTGCCCACCCCATTTGCTTCCTTAGCCAGTCCTTTCTTTCCAAATTCAAGAATAGTCTTGGAATATTTTTTTTAATTTCAAGTATTTTTTATTCATCTGGAAATTTTATTTTATTTTTAAATTCATTTATCTGTTTCACTGTAAAAAATGTATCTGTAGCTATTTGTGGACAATAGTGCAGCAGTGACATGTTTGAAATTGCTCCACAACTTCAAGAAGGAAATCTACAAGGCTCTCTTAGAAAAATAATCACCGCCTCAGTGGAGATCTGTGCCAGTGATGACTCTGTTTTGTAAAGAAATAGATAACAATCAGTTGCTTATATACTCAACCCATCCTGCTGCAATTTTAATGTTTCTATCCACTAGAACAGTAATTAATTTTATATTTCTATAATGAAAGTCCTAATAAAGGAGCTATTCTGCCAGCCACCAGTGGAATTCTAGCCAGCCAATGTGGGCTGTATGGAATCCTATGTCTTTCCTTGGGGGGAACAATCACTCTATTCAGAGGAATAGGGGTCAGGCCTTAAGGGTTCAGATGCTACCAGTGAATGGGAGGGAAATGAACATACTCTGAGGCAGAAGAGTCAGGTCACATTTACTCAGTTCTAAGACACCATTCCACAGAGGGGAAAATTTCAGAATGCAACCCTGTGCACCGAGTCAGTTGTGATATCTGCTGACTTCACCCAAGGAAACCGTCTTCCTAAGGAGAGAGGAGCTTCTTAAATGGCTAAATTTTTATGTCGCATCTCGCTTGTATAATTCATTGTGGAGTTTATCCATACTCCTTCATTCATTTACTCAAATGTTTTTCCTGAGGGTTTACAGTGCACTGGGCTCTGGGCTAGGGTTTGGATAATTGTGGAGAATAAGACAGACACAGCCAGTGCCCTCATAGGGTTTCTGTATAATGCAGTGTTTCTCCAAAAGTGGCTCATAGAATTTCTTTTTCCAAATCCCTGAGGTCCTTGGGCTGTGCCCCAGATTTTCAGAATCAGAGTCTCTCAGGGTAGGGCTCTAGAGCCTGCATTTTAAGTAAGCAAGCTACATGATCCTTAAACACGGTAAAGTTTGAGAAACACAGGATTAATGCATTATTCTATATAGTGTACGTGTGTCTGCTGCATCTCTAGATACAGACTTTATATCACCTTTTAATCCTTTTCAGTGGCAGCCAGTGCTTTGCTGTGATATAGTGGGCCCTTAATGAGACTCTGTTGAATAAATGTGTATATCATAATTAATGCTTTTAAAATTTTTTCTCTGATAGGTGGACATTTAATGAGACACTTTTTCTATAACTGGCATTTTAATATTCTTTTAAGTATATTACTTTATACTTTGGGCTTTAGTGTTTATACTTTAGTATTTTCTAATCTTTTTCTATTTTGGCTTAAGTTGTATTGATGACTAGTTTCATAAGTAATTCTCTAAATGAGATGGATTGAAAAGGACATATTTACTAAGCCATCAATTTTGCTAAACTGTATTTAATAAGGTTTTAAGTGTAACGCATTTAAACTCCCTTTAAAGTTTGACCTTCCTTCAGTGGATTCAGAAAAGAAATTTGTTCATAGAAATTTTGGAAAAATACTTCCTCTTCAAAGAAATGTGTACTGAAAAGTATGGTTATCTTTCATGTGGTCTTATAGTAATTCTCTCTAAAAACATAAATAATTTATTTTAACAACCATTTTTTTCCCTGACTGGTGGTAACATAATTTAAATAAGTTTGGATTGTTTTGTCTTTTGTTTTTGTTTTTGTTTGTTTTCAATTAAAGCACCCAATTCTGCCCGAAGATTGACAGAATTTGCTTCTGGAATTTTTCCTCCCAAGTACTTATCCTCTGCCGGACGCGGTGGCACGTGCCTGTAGTCCCAGCTCCTTCGGAGGCTGAGGCAGGAGGATCCACTTGAGCCCAGGAGTTCTGGGCTGTAGTGCGCTATGCTGATGGGGTGTGCGCACCAAGTTCGGCATCACTATGGCTACCTCCTCCCAGGAGCCGGGGACCACCAGGTTGCCTAAGGAGGGGTGAACCAGCCCAGGTCAGAAACGGAGCAGGTCAATTACTTATCCTCCCCACCTTCATTCCGAAAGGGGAAGATATAAAAATAAATTGTGAGAGAGCCTACAGATAGAAAGCTAAAAGCTGGATGATGAATTCTTAGACTCCTCACCCACCTCAAAGGTATAAAGGAATTAAGAATGGAGTTGAGGGGATTTATGAAGAGTCTAGTGAGAAAGGCTTCAGTGGGATCATACAGTGAGCTTGGTGTGTCCACTAAAGTTGGGACACACCTTGACTAGTGCCTGACCTTTGCCTGAAATACCTAACGGGGGAGATAGCAGCCGACCAGCTCCTGACGGGCAATCAGATGAGAGGTAGCCTCAGTGGAATTGGCCTGCAGGCCCAGCGTCTGTCAGTATAAAGAATGTGTGTGTTTATGAATCATCGTGGAATCGTGCTAGGTCCTATCCATAGACTCCTGGAGGTGAGCAGAGGCTTCTTCTGCACAGAAAAGCAGAAGACATCCCTGATGTCTAGGACTGCAATAGGGAAATATATTCACTCAGACAAGGATGTAAGTAAAGGGAAATCTGCAGAGAACCCACAAGAAGGCTGTTATCACCTGGTAGCACTTGATCTACCTCAGGATAGCACCAGTCAAGTAAGAATTCCTGTATCCTTTATACATCTCCCCTACCCCTGTCCCTGGAGAGGTCAGAAACTATAGTTAATGATCTAAGGGAAGATGAGTAAAGAAACAAAGAAACAGCCGGTTGTGCCCCTTTCTCAACTACATGCTTCTCACCCCCTGTAAGCCTTAGTAAGGGGAGGAGAGAAAATTTAACTATAAATCAACTTTCATATTTTGTCTTCTTGAGTTTGTTTTAATTTAGGTTGAACTATATGAAATTGTTGCTATTTGATCATTTTTTACCTACAAATACAGCAATTTCATGTG